CCAATGATTAACGACAGCCCGTCGGCTCCTCAAACCCCACCACACGTACGACAGAAGAGTTTTGGAGCGGCATCTACAATGAGTGTCGCGGGCGGAGTGCCTGGCAAGGGAGAAGCTGGCAGTGCTATGTTCTTGGTGCAATCCGCCTCCGGATTCCCTGCGACATCGAAAATCCAAGTCCACATAAAGCAAGTTTCAGCGAAAGGCGCTAAAGAAGTTCACAAAACGAAAGGTGTCAAATCCTCCACTGGAGAAATCACGTGGGATCATGAGATGTTCAAAGTACCATGCTCTGCCGATACCCAATTCCAAGTTCAAGTTAAGGACGACAAATTCTTGGGCGATCACATCCTTGGTGAAGCACCTTTCTTTATCGATGACTCTACGGCAGGAGGTGAGAAGACGATCAAGGTTGGGGAAGGAAATGTCACTATCCACACCACTTTCATGCAAGATAGTGGGCCAGGTAGTCCAAGGAGTCGGCGAAGCCTTCTGAGCAGGAGGCCTCGGGATGTGAGTGGCGCGAAGGGATCAAGTTGAGAAAGCTGTCAGCAGGACGCTCCCTTGAGATGGAGAAAAATATTGTTGTTCACTGATTAAGTTACTATTAGCGTGTTGATACCACTCTGTTCTTATGGGAGAAACCTCCAGTTTATAATACAACACGAACAATTCTACTTGTAGGACCGCCATCATGCGGGCTCAATGTTCAAACGGTAGCTCTAGCGTTCTCATTCGCAAGACAGAGAGATACAGCAACCAGACAGACTGCTGAGTCTCGTGCGCTAGCATTGAGGTAATAGGTAAAAGCCAGCGGCGAGAAGTCTAATTTCAACATGTCTGCAATGATACGGATTCTGCGGCTATTCCATTGTTGCAGAAGGTATTCTCAGCGGACTTGTTAGAGAGTACATGGAACTTTCCATCACGTGAGGTCAATTGCTTTGGTGTCATCGATCCATTCTAACCCTACTTAGAATCTCCCTCAACAACTGTCTTCACCCTCAACACTTAATGCAACCCACTATCTGGCAGCGACTAGGACTGCACACGCGGCAGTATCACCAAAATTCTCTTTACAAGGACCCAGGGGGGAAGCTATCAGGACGTTTTACTCAGTTTCACCCAAAGATCTCAATGTCCGAATATTCTCAGCAGTGCAAAATAAGGCCTTCTCCGGGGCAGATTGCGTGAGCCATCCTGTCGTCCCATTCCTCCCCACCCACGGCGACCTTTACAGAAAGTCTCATACCTTTTACGCTGCCTCGATGGTGGCTTCATGACTATACCCTGACCGTCTATAGACAACATTAGATCCAGGTACAAACAGTATTTTGTAGGGGCCACACATTGACAAAACGCAATGCGAACTCTTAATCACCATGGCTTTTTTTTTGTTGAGACGTCGACGCTTGATTCGAAGGCTGCTCTCGTGTGCTGTCGAACAGGTCAAACCTCTTTGCCCTTCGCCTCAACCACACAGAACATCAATTTTCTCATGCTGAACGGATCACTACCAAACACAGGTTCGAGAATCTAACGGTTTGTAGGCCACTCCGCAACTTTTACCATGACTAGGGGGTTTCTTGGTCAAATGATTAAGATCGAGAACAGTGTCACAAGCGACGTCAGTCAAGCCTGTCCGATATGCTTAGAGGGATACGGTGGTTTTGAAGGGGTGCCTTAGAGGGGAAGACAGATGTGCATGTGTAAAATTAAACGATTTTCTTTCTTCTTTACATTTCTCTTTCAATAGATACTCAAAATCCCGTCTCATTAACAAGCTACCAGCTCAAGACCCGAAAATTTCATGATCAATTTCCCATACCTTCCCAGCGTTAGGGGAGTCCTAACACAAACATCCACCGATCATGGATTCCCAACCCGCCATCAACATCGCCTTTACGACCTCGACGTCGAATGAGAAACTCCACAGCACCATGACCGAAGTTCCACGCCAATCATTGACCACAATCTCAACTCAGACAACCCATTACCAAATCCAGGTCCATCTACGAAGAACGTGAACACGCGGCCTTTCAGGTAGATGATCGATAGAGCAGTCGAAACAGCATACACGACCCCAACGTTGAAAAACGCCGTCGCCAAAACATCTCCAGGAACGTGAAGGAGGCGATCGAGGAGAAGTGCACGGTCCGCAGGACACCCGGACGCAGGCTCCCCGACGCCGGGCGCGGATGAGACGGACGTCCGAAGTGAGGGAGGGAGGGACAAGGTTCCACGACGGAGGATAACGATGACGGGTGATCCGGTTTTGGGAAGACGCGGTCATCGAAGGCCTGGGTCCTACCTATTCCGGGCGGGGGGGTGCGCACGGACGACACGTGTTTCGGTTTCGCGCCCGAAGGGATCGTGTGCACGGGACCACTTTACACTGCGATGTGGTTGCCGAGACCGGTCTGATGGGGCTGACGTTGTTGTTCCCGTAGACGCTCGAGGGAGTGTGGTGGAAGCGGCGACGGACCCCTTGGTCGTATCGGCCCGGGCCAATAGCGGCGATTGCATTTTCGTGAGGGACGCCCTGCGCGTTTCGAGACTACGTTGATGTCGGGTGTTTGTGGGAGAAGGGGTCAGAAGACGTCGTGAATGGACAAAGTACCCTCGTGGGGAGGTTGGCGGCAGGCGAGAGGTCAAAAAGGGTGGCAGTCGGAGCGGTAGCAACCCCTGAAACATGGACGACTTTACAGGGACGAGAAGGGATTTTGACGTTCAACGCTCAAGCTGTAGTGATTTTTGATTTGTGAATAACACCTGTTTTACGGGTGAAGCCCAAAATCGGCGTCAGAATAGACTACTTCAACGTCTCCGACTGCAAAGATTTTTCTTAACATTTTGCCTGCTAAATATTCTCTCTACTCGTGACTTCTGATCCACTCTCTGATCGACCTCCCTGTCGCTCACGGCCTAATGGTTCGCTGTGCTCTGGTCAGGATAGATAAAATCAGTCTGTTGGTCCTTCTTTACATCAGACCCCGGCAATGCTCGCGATGATACAGCAAAGCTGATGATAGTGTGCTGATGCGAACACATCAACTAGCAATGCATGAGCGATTTTTGTCACGATAAAGGTATGTTTTCGAGAGGACTCACTTCCCTACGGGGTGAAGGATCACCGCAGGTCGACGAGACGATGAAGGTGAGTTGTGGAGCAATTGGACGGCCATCTCTTAGCCGCCCATGGGACGGGCGTAGCTCCTCTCAGGCTCAGACGAACGAGTCATCGATCCCGTATTTTTGCATTTCGTTTTCCAATCGAGGATCCTCGCTGGCTTCCTCAGAATGCGCGGAGTCCATTCTTACACTTGTATTCATGGGCTTCGAGACAAGAATTCCTTCCCTGATTAGATCATCCGTCATGGTATCCTTGCGTTGATGTCCATGACCATGGATGTGGTCATGGTCGTGGTCGTGGTCGAGGTCATTCATGGCAGTATCACTGCCATTTTCTGTTCCCTCACCAACGTTCTCGACCCACGATTTTGGATCGTTGGTGAGCGGAAATTTGATGTTCGTGTCCAGCCCTTGCGTGTCACCCCCTACGCGTCTCATTACCCACAGGTACAAGGGTCGTAGGGTCGGTATACAAGCAGCAATGATCCCAACCTGCACCTCGAATAGCCGCCATAGCCAATTGATGATGCCGTTGTATGTGCCGTCGAGGGGTACGGATTGACTGTTGAGCACTGTCCGGACAAGGCAACAAGCTCCTGTGATGAATCCCAGACACATCAAAACCCATAAACCGATCTTAGTCCTGAGATCAATCTGTACCCGCCAAAGAAATAATATCGGGAAGGCTGCAAAAGCAAAATCGGAGATAACCGATATGACCGCTTGAGCAAGTATGATGCTTTCTTTTGCCTCCCTGCTCATACAAGTGCCCCTGTTATCCCATGCCGCGTGGATCGGTTGGCACTGCATGATCCATACAACGGTCAAAATAGTATTCGAGAAGAGTAGAAACGCCACGGCACATTGTAGCGGTAACAGCAGCGCTTTGCTGTTGGGTAGTCGCATCAAAAATAGACAGATGGACACTTTAGTCCACATAAGAGTAGCAAAAGTCTGAATCCACTCCCCGTAGGTGTATTTCCTAAACTCTTGCAAGTTGTGGGGGGAGAGGAATTGCTGGTGTTTGCCAAAGCCGTAGTTGACTTCCTTGAAATCGAGCCCTGCGCCTATAGTGGTTCCGAGCTGTGTGGTGGTCAGCAAGCTGGAGGCCAGTAGCGCTGGGAAGCACTTACCACCGCCAGGATGATAGCAACATCATCGTACCAAAATTGATGCACGATCCACACGCGGGTAAGAATACGAAGGAAGAGGGAAATCAGGACGACTACGAGGAAAGCGATGGTGAGGGCGAGGATAGCGGGTCCCCAATTGCCTTCGTCGTTGGCCATTATTGCGTACTGCCTTTGGTTGTGAAGGTGAAAAGTATCTCTTGCTTGAAATGCATCTTGGAAAAGAGAAGAAGAGGGCAAATGAAACGCTCATCATCAGACTGAAGCTAGGAAGCGGCGCTGCTGATTTAGCCTTACTGTGGGGAAGTCCGCTGTCTCGAATCTGCCTCGCCATCCCGGCCCCTACTTTATGACACGAGTGAGAAATATACCCGATAGACTGGTTCAACGACAGTCCCTAGCTCTTACTCAACTTCCGCTTTACCGTACGCGAGGTTTACTTGCGTGTACGCAGAAGACGCGGGGTTCATCAAGCGAATGGGAGGAATACTACTGTTCATTCGTTACTTTAGCTTCGTGAAATTCTTAGTCCCTCGGTCATTGATCCTTGGCATAGTTGGCCTAGGGACAAGCTCTACGGAGTGCGCTTGGTGAATGCTAAAATCTACCTAGTGCTCAACACTCACGATGATATACATGACCAGTCGATATCCTTCACTCTATGCCATCACGGACTCCTTGACCACCACATTTACCGCCGGCCCCTTGTCCCGCCACCCACAAATACCCGTAGCCAACATGGTAGCTACCCTAGTCGAAAGTTGTGGTGGAGCAGTGTTAGGTGATGGCGCAGATGTAGGTGTTCGTATTGGTGATGTTCTGGGCGGAAAGGTCGAGGTAGTTGAGGTTATCAATGTCGTATCTTGGGGAGGACTTGTTGTTCTAGGAAGGCCGTGAGTGCTCACCGGCGTTACTGAAGCTAAGATCAAAAATTGAACGACGCGGACAGCGGTACTGAGAGGACTAGTGACCAAAGCTGTAGAAGAAATGACTGATGGAAATACGGCTACTGTGGTTATTTCCGAAAGTTGACTGCTAACGTGAAACTTGCCGTACTCGTATTGACAGGTGTGGCGCTAGGGGCCATCAGAGTAATGAACTCCAATACGGGAACGCAGGAGAAGGGGCGCTGATGATGATTTGCAACGATGTCCCGCCAAGGACCTCAATAAAGCCCGTGGCCGAGCCACTACTGAATGTCAGGAAGTCAGAAGTGACTGAGACTGCGAAGAGCCATGCTATCAGGACAATGCTAATCTTTTACGACTTGCGCATCATGGCGCTAGATGGGAAATAGAGAGCGGAATCTCAACACAGAAACCAATAGAGAAAGTTTCGTGACATCTAAATGAGAGGTGCGATTAGACCGTAATGCTTATAGGAACGATGTCTTTGGCCACTTTCACGAAGGAATCATTCTCGTCTTTGATCTCTCATGTTTTCTTTCGCCTATTCTCTGACAGCCTCTGATGAATAATTAAGATCTGCTGGCATTGTGCGAAAAGACAGAATTACAGATATTATATAAAGGGGCATGCTCTCTCATCGGTAGATAGCAAAAGGACGCGGGCCACTTATGCCCAATTCTGCCCTCGATAAATTTCCTCGATAAACGTATTCGATCAATTATACATGAGGCAAAACTACAAAGCATCGATCCGCAATGAAGAGGACACTAGCCGCAGTGGCATCGGTCTCAGTGCTTAGCTTTGTAATCCGATCTTGCGAGCCATGTCCCAGCTGGATTCAGACAATGCCATAGGGTGGTAGCACTATCGTTCTATGGCTCTGTCGACCATGACTCTAACTTGTGATGTGAAAGACAGCAATTTTGCTCGAGTCTTAGAAAGCCTTTAACACTTCCAAGGCTCGAAGCCATGAGCAACTTAGGCCGCTCCCCAAAAAGGACAATATCCCATCGTGGAAGGCGTTCGACGGTTCGGGACCTTCGTACCCACGGAACTTGTCAGATCAAGACGTCTGTCGGATATCTTGCTCAACAGGTGGAAATTGCGTGCCTTTATGGCTTCGACGACGAATACTCGATCTGTCTTTATAGTCCAATTGGCTTCCCGAGAAGAGAGTGCGTGAGATGAGGACGACAAATCTGGAGTAGTTGACGTTGACGGGTATGTAAATTTGTGGGTCCTGATAGACCGGAAAGGGGCATTCATACAGGGGGATCTGCCGCCAGGGCTATTTTGAGCATTAGGGTTATTGTTGAGTTGGATATTGAATCTGCATCTAGCACTGCTTGCCTGTCTTGGTAACCAAGAAATTGCTAGTCGGACAAGACCGTTGATATTTGGCCTCATCTTCTGGGCCATTGTTAAATGAGACCGATCATATCCATCGAGTGAAAGAAGGCTCTGGGACACGTTTTCTTGTCTTGTCGGAGAATTAACTTTTTTTTAAGCGTTACGGCGGCCCGGATAGTGCTGGCAGTTTCTAACACCCAACAAACCCCACCATTCTGTATGTGCATAACGTTAAGCCTCTCAGGTATTTTGGACTTCGGACCCTACCCTCTCCTCCATAAATACCTCTTCAGATCCCTTTCTCATTCTTTTCCTTCTACCTTCACGCATTATCCTGTACATAAACAGCTCCAGCAGCTCAATTGAGTGAGTCAATTCTGCTTTCCCCCTTTCTGAAAGGCCAAGTCCCGAACCCCAGCATCGCTCCCCATTCGTCCCGGTCCACCCCTTCTTCGAGGTCTGGGGCCTCTACATGGGCTTCCCGCAGTCCGATTGGCATTGGACAACATGAGCAGACTGTTCTAGTCCTCGCCAAGTCATTGTCCCTTTGGCCAAAGTCCCACGTTGCACAGTTGCCATACCAATGTCGAAGCTAATTGATCTTCTGAAAGCCATAGGAAACCAGCCTGCTACCTATTCTGATATACTCAAACAAACATGGCGGCAGCACAGAGAGCCATACCCTCTCACCTAAGAGAAAGTGGGGCCACAAACGGGGAGGCAGGAGCTTTCAAGCGGAACCACCATGGAAAGTCTCAATCACACGTGGTGAGTTTGGAATGTTTTTGAAACCCCTAGATCGTGTGATGTAATGGCAGCCACGTGAGGTGCTATTCTGGGCCTGAGGAAGCGCCGGCACGCTTGTTTCAAAGCAGTCGGTGGACCTCGGTCAGAGCACGGAAGTTGTGACCTTCATTAGGAAATCTCGGAAGGCACTCTTCTATGATCTGCAAGCTCAAAGCTCCGTCCCAATCTTCCTTCACACAATAATTATTCCTTCGCGAGTGATACCTCAAGCGTCAAGCACCATCTGAGTGTCGTTCAAGGGCCTCTCAGCTGTCCAAACCTCTTGACGCAGTCGAGGGTTCAGCAACGGGCATTCGACAGATGATATCTTCGTCACTCGTCACTCCTCCTCACATACCCTTACGATATTTCTTCCTTCACTCCAACAACTCACAACGCAATGGCCACTGCACAAAACGTTGCCGCAGACATGGTACCTATCATGGCAGCGTTTCATTCTTCAGGATCACAGCTGACCAGATGTCGCGCAATTTGACAGGCTTTCGAGAATACCTCCACATCCGTTGCAGCTGGGCAAATGCGAAACGCCCTTAACGCTCTAGCTGAGACTTGCAAAGATGAAGAAGAGAGGGAGCGCTTCGAGACAGAGATGGACAACTTCTTTGGCCTCTTCCGACGCTATCTGAATGATAAGGCCAAAGGGAACGCGCTGTCCTGGGACCGCATCGCTCCTCCACATCCAGAGCAAGTCGTCGACTACAACGATCTTGCGAACTCCGAATCCGTCGAATTTCTTAATAAGCTTGCGGTCATCAAGCTCAATGGTGGTCTCGGTACATCCATGGGATGCGTTGGCCCGAAATCTGTCATCGAGGTCCGCGACGGCATGTCCTTTTTGGATCTGTCCGTCCGTCAGATCGAATATCTCAACCGAACCTACAGTGTCAACGTGCCTTTCGTCTTGATGAATTCCTTCAATACCGATGAGGACACCCAGAACATCATTAAGAAATATGAAGGCCATAACATCGACATTCTCACCTTCAACCAATCCCGGTACCCCCGTGTTCTCCGCGACTCGCTACTCCCAGCTCCCAAGAAATACGACTCACAGATCTCCGATTGGTACCCTCCCGGACACGGAGATGTATTCGAATCGCTCTACAACTCTGGTATCCTCGAAAAGCTCATCGACCGTGGCGTAGAGATTGTCTTCCTGTCCAACGCGGACAACTTGGGCGCAGTCTGCGATCTCCGCATCCTACAGCATATGGTTCAGTCCGAGTCGGAATACATCATGGAACTGACCGACAAGACCAAGGCTGATGTGAAAGGTGGTACCATCATCGACTACGAAGGCTCAGTCCGTCTTTTGGAAATTGCTCAGGTTCCCAAGCAATACACGAACGAGTTCAAGTCGATCAAAAAATTCAAATACTTCAACACCAACAACATCTGGCTAAATCTGAAAGCCATCAAGCGCGTAGTGGAAAACAATGAGCTTGAAATGGAGATCATCCCGAACAACAAGTCCATTCCCGCTGATAAGAAAGGAGAGGCGGATGTCAATATTGTTCAACTGGAGACTGCCGTCGGTGCCGCCATCCGCCACTTCAAGAACGCTCACGGTGTCAACGTGCCTCGTCGTCGTTTCCTGCCGGTCAAGACTTGCTCCGATCTCATGCTTGTCAAGTCAGATCTCTACAGCCTGAAGCACGGCCAGCTCATGATTGACGATAGCCGATTCGGCCCAGCACCGTTGATCAAGCTCGGTAATGACTTCAAGAAGGTCAGCGACTTCCAGAAGCGCATCAGCAGCATCCCAAAGATCTTAGAATTGGACCACTTGACGATCACAGGAGCTGTGAATCTAGGACGAGGTGTGGTGTTGAAGGGGACAGTCATCATTGTGGCCACGGAAGGCAGCACTATTGACATTCCTCCCGGATCGATCTTGGAAAACGTCGTCGTCCAGGGCAGTCTGAGGCTGTTGGAGCATTGAGCGACGGCGTCTCTATTGTGTTTTATGTGGCGATGTCATTGTGTGTGCAAGGAATGGAAATAGCAGATACCTAGATGACTCGCTCGTCTCCATTCGGCATGGTCGTCTCCAGTTGTAAGGTTGGAATATGAGCAGGGGCTCTCTCTGTTGCTGCTTCGCCTGTCTCCAAAGGAGATAAGTTAATGTTACATAGATAGACCTTGCTACACATCATGGCCCTTCACCTTGCATTCGTATATAGATCAACGGCGAAATTTGAGTAGAGGCAGCCCTGGTGTTGACCTACTACCACTGTAGACTGACGGAGACACTCAAAGCCAATACTAAGCTCCCGTACCAAGCTTTCTCACATGTGATAACGGCGCCATGTTTTCCACGATCATCGTTAATGAACCAATACTTCTCACAAATCCATGTTTTTAAGGCAATAAGTATTGCATTGCCTTCGATACAATTTCTTAGCCAAGTATAAGGCGTAAGATCGTATCTCGGTGTAGCATGTCCGCTTGATGACGACGCTTTATCGGCCAAAATAAAAAGGAATTGGGGCCCCCACCAGGGGTAAATAATCAATCTGCATTTTGCCGTACGAAAACGGCAATCCCTTCACATCTTTCCTTTGTACTCATGGTATGAGACTGGACTGAAACGCTACATCAGAGGACGAGCGGACGCCTGTATCCTACACAGAAGAAATCCTCCACCGAGAGGCAAGGCAAATTGAGCACGCGACCCTTTTGGGATCTGGACGAGACATCAATTACATTTACAATATTTGCAATCAGAGAGACTTCAACCAGAGCCCCTTTTATCAGGCTAGCCTAGCATCTATAATGCGGCGATATCTTTCACGGCAATAATACCAATGATCCTTCGGTCACCCTGCTGGCTTTCGCTCGCCCTCGCCTTCACGGTCTTGCTGCTGCAGTACGGTCTGGTAAAAGGAGACGCAGACATTGAAAGTGTAAGGATACATCATGGTTACGAAGATATGAGTGGGAGAGGTGGAGACCCCAAGGCGAAGTATTGGCGTAAGTACAGTGCATGGTCTTTAGATGCCCATCGCTAATGCTGCTGTTTTTTACAGATGAGTCGGTGTAAGTTTTACTGTACTTCTACATTGAAAAGCAGAAGCGCTAAACAGGCTCCTCAGCTTCCATCCACACTACGATGGCCGGTAGGACAAGGCTCTACTCAATGGAATAAGACAACACGCTGACTAGATCTAGCTTCACCGACCACACCCTCCCTTACGAGGAACAAAAAGCAAACCTGTCCCTCCTCATGCAATCATACCTCTCGTCGATGTCAGATATAGGCGCAGAAACATGGATCATACACGGCACGCTCTTAGGCTGGTGGTGGAACCAAAAAGTATGCTCCCCAAATCACATCGCGATATCTTCTCCTGACAGTACCACTCAGATCATGCCCTGGGACTCCGACATCGATGTGCAAATGACCAATACCACAGTCCATATGCTCGCCAGCTACTACAACATGACTATCCATACTTTCGATATTGGTGATGATGAGAAGAGGGATTATATGTTAGAGGTCAACCCAAAGTATACAGACCCGTCATATGATGACACTCTCAACGTGATCGATGCAAGATGGATAGACGTCGAGACGGGCCTATTCATCGACATAACGGCCGTCCGGCCACACCAGAGCAAAAAGGGAATCATATGCTCCAAAGACCAGCACGAAGAAAAAGTAAGTGAATCCTCTCCCCTCCTCCCGTTTCCATCACCAAGTCTTCCGACCAACCCACCGCCAGGTTCAAGACCTCTTCCCTCTCCGCGACTCCCTCTTCGAAGGCCAAGCTGTCAAAATCCCCTATAACTACGCTCGCCTGCTCACGCAAGAATACGGCAATGCTGCCCTCACAAAGGCCGAATACTCGGACCACCGCTTCAACTCTACCAGCATGGAGTGGGAGAAATTCATGTCAGTGAGCTCCCAAGAGAAAATTGCTTGTCACGTTTCGCAGGCATTGCTGCGTGGTGGGAGAAGAGGAAGGAAGAAATGCGCTGGCTGACGCGCCGGCAGGACCCAAGCTGACGAGGATGGAGACGGGGTGAAGTATCCGGATGGGAGTGTGGAGGAGGAGGATGGGGATGAGGAAGAAGCTTGATACAACAGCCCACGTGGCGAGATGATTTCTGTGCTGCATAGCTTGCGATGTCGAATGCATTGAGCGATGGAGTATCGGAAGATATTGGCATCCATGGAAAGGAAAGACCCTCACGTTCTGGATGATGACTGTAATATACGACCTAATTCAATCTCGATCTGGTGTATCTCTGCACTAATAAATCAACTCAAGGATACTCTACTAAAGACCATGATCCCCAAAGCAGCTAGCCGCACACGGTTGAAAGGCAATCCCTCACCACTCAATCACTCCGTCAAAGTTCGCAACCAACATGGACCTCCTCGCCGAGCACGCACGCTCGCCCACAACCAACCCCACCATCCCCCCGCGACCGCCCCGCCGAACCCCTCATCCACCGAAGCCCGCAATGCCAAACCGCGGAAACCCCAAAGGCCGCCAGACCCGTTGCAACCTCCACTCCAACCTCAACGGACGCCGAAGATCCCACCGACGTCCCGACCCCCCCCTCCGAAACCTCGCCTGCTCGCCAGGTAGGTCGCAAGATTTTTTTTTCCCTTCCCCCACGGACGCAAATCCAGTAAGTCAGATGGAGCACATCGCCTCCGAACCCTTTCGCCTCCGCACCTCCATCTCACACGCCGCCATAAATCCCCCACCTCGCCACCACCTCCCCTCCCCTTCCCTCCTTTCCTCCCCCGACCCTCTCGAGCCGCCCGCCCGCCCACACCGTCCCCGATTCCCCGATTCCCCCCCCGTCTGTTCGAGAAACCACATCGAACGCGGAATGACGAAAGAAGAAGAAGAATGATGGCGGTCGCGTGCGAGATCTGCGTGCGGGAGGGACGGGTGCCACCGTTTTGACACCCGGGTTCGAGGCGCGGGGGAGGCGGCGAAGGCGGGGCGGGGTGCGAGGAGAGGAGGGAGGGGGGGGGGAGGATGGATGGATGGATGGATGGGGTGGCGTGGCGTGGGGATGGGGAGGTGGCGGGGGAGTGGGGAGTTGGGAGTTGTTGGTGGGCAGAGGGATGCCATGGGAGGGAGGGAGGGGGGTAGGGTAGGGTTTGAGGGCAGAAGGGTGTGGGTGAGAGCGGTCATCGGGTTGGTGAGAAAGGGGGCGATGGGGGCAACGGGATACTCTCAAGGAACGGAGGGCAAAAATCCGATTGAAGGTGCTTTTGTTGGTTGGGAGGGCTGAAGGTTTGAGGGAGATGCTTGTTTGGGGGAGGGCGCCTATGAAGTCGATCTGTGCAACGTAGGGGCTGAGGGCAAGAAAAGTGTCAGTCCCTTGGGGGAGAGCTTGAGTTGACCGACGCAGGCATTGTTTAGGGAAGGAGTCATGGAGGATGTTTTGATGGAGTTTCTCGATCATTCAAGTTCTCGCATTATAGAGTCATGAGACTATTCTTCATATATTCATGTCGTAAGGCATCAAGAGCCTGAACTTATGTTACAGGCAAAAAGCCACTGCAGAAATGAGTAGAGATGCCTCCGAGTACATGTAGCGGTGAATGTTGTCCACCCGTGGTATCATCCTCGTCGGTATCCATTCTCCTTTTCTTTCAGTGATCCAACCATGATAAAAGCTGCTGGTCGTTTACCACCAACTCATCAAGTTCACGTCCTGCTGCGGGCCAGTCGGAAGACTCTGGCCATTCTGATTCTCCAGCTGATAACCCTTGATCATGTCATCCCAACCAGTCCAATTCATATCATTATCCTCAATCAGGCGATCCTGTGCAAAGATGCTGGGATCAAAATTCCATTGGTCTGTGTTGTTCGTTCCATTCATTCTATCTGTAGATTGCGGTTGACCCAGAGGCACAAATGACTGTTGCAACCCGTTCAGGCCGTTCGAGCCCGTAGCGGTGGCTGATAGGGTATCAGTCACTGGCCCTGGCATCTCGAAAGTAGAAAAGTCTAGCGAAGGGTCTCCAGTAGACATGGGGCCTGGCGCGAGATTGAACCGTGTAGTGGCGGGCCCCAGAGAGCCATCTAGTGGGAATCGAGCTCGCTTCTCCAAGGCTTTCGACCGCTCGGCTCTTGCCTTTGCCATGAGCTTCCGCAGCGGTTTCCAGAGCATTCCTCGCTGGTTGGAGGTAACGGTCCCTCCCCAGTCATCGAAGACCCCTTCAATTACCATCCAAGCCTTATCAACCTCGGGACCAATAGTCCGAGTACATAGCTGCGAAATGACGAAGGCTATGGCATGCCACTGTACATATGTGCGGAAAAGCCAGCCCCATCTCAGTGTGGTATCTTCAGTCTCTAGAAGACGGGAGAACTGAACAACCTCAAGTGAAGTGCGGAACAACCGGTCTTTCGTTTCTTGTGGGAGGCCTGCACCAGCATCTGATCTTGAAAAAGGATGATGCACCACAAGCCACATCTTGGCGAGAATGAGTCGTGCTACCGTCGCTGCGACCCAATGGAGAGGGACATTCGTGTCGCAGTGGCTGAGATACTTTTTCTCGAGATATTGGTGCAGGTCTTCAATCATGCGTTCTTTATCCTCGATACTAAGGCTAGCATTCAATGTTTGGCAACGGCCTTCTCCAGGTGGAGCGTAGCTAAGACGTCTGACTGTTATACCCATTGAGTATCGGATGAGATCGAAAGTCATTTCGGTAGCGCCTTCATGTTCCGCGGGAGCCTCTTTCATACTGGGATCAATTTCCTCATCGTTGATATTGAGGGGGAATTTGGTGTCGAAGCTCTGCTCGACAATGGAGGGATCAGAGCCTTGATCTTCTGAAGCACGCGCATCGAGTGAACTGATCTGCCACCACAGCCGTCTGCGCATCTCGGTTTCAAATGGTGAAAGCCCAAATCGCTGTCCGTCGCGATGGATACCGAGACCCTGGGCAAGACGAATGAGAAGACCTGTGAGAGTCCAGACATATCGTGTGTCGTCAGATCTGCGGACACATGTCAAGAAAAGCAGCAAGGACTGCAAGACCAATAGCTCCTGAGTGTTGAGGAATCCGGCGCGCGCTAAAGCTTGCTCAACTGCAAATCGATACTTTCGAAGCGCAGCTTGCTTCTCCAAGCCCAATTGTAATATGCAGTCGTCAGTCGATAGCGTTGTAATTGCAGCAAAGTATATGGTGAACATCAGGACCTCGATAGGCTTACTGACATGGTCGAGGTCAAGCGACGCCTGAGATATCATTTTCTCGTAGTGGGGAATATGGAGGAGCTTGATCACCGGGTCGACGTTTGCCTTGAAAACGGCCCAGTATATTGGGATTTGTTCGGGTGGGGGATGAAAGTTGCGTAGAGAGCGGATTGCGGAGCTAAAGCCGAAGATGAAACCCTGATGATGTGCGGATGCTGACGAGCCAGAGCCCGGCGAAGGATAGTCCTCTTCGTCTTCGGTGTCATCGTCAAGTATATCGCGCATCTCTGCTACCTCTTCACTTAGACTGTTCCAGAATTTGTTACTGACATATCGACTCTTTCCGTTCTCCACTTTCAGCCTTCCAAATTCTCTAATCAAACTGCCCGTCTCCGCACAGACACGATTGGGCTCATGCTGTCCTAAAATGCCACAATCTTTGGCTATTTTGATATCTTTGATATCCAAATCGCTAGGTCCATTCGGCTGTAATGGCTCGAATTCCTGCTTTTGGACCTCAACCGGCTCATTCGCAGTTTCTGCCTCCTCATCGATTCCCTTCCCTAGGCTCTGCACCACACCCTCTAGCCTTCTCAGTCTCGCCAAGAGCTCCGTATCGGGCGGTTTTCTGCTGCGTCTGGGCGCTCTTCCTGGGCCAGGAAATATACACTCGATTACTGCTCTGTTGCAATTTGAGCATGGATGTCTCTTATCACACTTCACTTTCCTCTTCCTGCATGTGGTGCATGATCTTGCATTTAAGCCTGAGGTAGCATTTGCAGCACTAACCGTAGGGGATGTACCATGTTTTCCGTTGGTTGTGGGCGGGTCACTGGGTTCGCGACTGCTGTTTGGGGTACGGGTCGCCAAGCCGAATGTGCCTGAAAAGTTTGTTTCTACCGGAGAGGTAGAAAAGTCCTTGTCGAATTGAGGCATTGGAGGAGGTTCCTCGATGTCTGAAGTGTGATTTCCAGAAGGACGGCCAGTAATGAATGCGCAACTTCAAGTCCCGATGGTGAATGGGTAAGTAGACGGTCAAGACAGCCGCCAACAGACAATCAGATGACAGATGTTGAATTCTCTACAGGGATGTTGAGATGGTAAGCAGAGAAGGGGTCAATCGATAGTCGTGTGATGCTTGAATGGGGAAATGGAGAAGAATCAGGTCAGGCACGACTTCTTCGTTGCGAATAGGATTATAGGAATCCGTCCTTTCAACCTTCAACTGCGGAACTTCCCGTTCCCTCGTTGACGTTTGACTTGTTTGAGTCATATGCGCATTTCGGACTTTAGAGCTTCCCCGAAACTTTAAGAGTACGAGTACGAGTACCTCTGGGCAATTAGTTGAAGAAGCATAGAAACATCTTGTCTCTTGCACACCATCTTTGCCTCTTTCTATCTGAGTCATTACTACTTCCAATGCCAGGGAAAGTCATCTATTGGATTATTGGAGTAAGCCCCTACGTCTAATGTAAGGTAGAGAAGCCTGAGGTTCGAGTCTATGACTATGCTCACGAGAGCATGTCCATAATCTCCCTCGATTACTGGCATCACTGTTGCCTAGAATTGTCCATCTTCATTCTTCTCGAGCAAGCAAGACTCCATCAATTCCATCAACCATGTCATCTGCTTCAGACAACTTAGCCAAATTGGCCAAAGATGTTCCTTGGGTTTTCAAGACACCACCAGAACTCAGTGACGCCGCACGAGAGCTCCTAGAACAGTATTCCCATATCCCCAAGGTCTGGTAAATCAGCACGTCCTTGATATGCGAGAAAGGGCCTGGTCCATATTTCCATATCCATGTATAGGGAAATAGCAAGGCATATTGAGCACTTTTCCAGTCTCTTTTCTAGAATTCGAAAAAGGACAATATCCTTTCCTCGACCTCTCCGTCTCGCTCCATCCCTCCTATCCATGCATCCTTTCCTCGCTCAAAGCGCCCCAGTCACAGTACACCCCCCTAGACCTAGGCTGTTGTTTCGCACAAGATATCCGGAAACTCGTGTATGACGGGGCTCCTTCTCAGAACATGTACACTTGGGACTTGAAGGGCGAGTTCCAAGACCTGGGTCATGACCTCTTCAATGACAAGGAAACACTAAAGACGCATGGTTTTGCGGCCGACATCTTCGCCCCAAGCTCGGCGCTCGGTGAGATGGACGGCAAGATTGATGCAATATACGCTGCTAGCTTCTTCCGTACGTACATTTCGGAGCTGATCCTTTGAGGTTGAGGCACAAGACTTGTCTCGGGAGCAAAAGAACCTTTCTACTCTCGGGACCTGTCTTGCATGTCTTGCAACTCCAGTTTCTGCCTCCAACAGGTATTGCTCACTCCAAAATCTGCGTAGACATTTTCTCCTGGGACGACCAGATAAAAATATGCGAGCGGGTCATCAAGATACTAAAAGCACAAAAAGGCAGTGTAGTGTTTGGACGGCAAATGGGCAATGTAAAGGGACAGGAGATAGAATACACAGCGCGAGCGGGGGCTAAAATCTGGCTACATAATGCTGATAGCTTGGGACGAATGTGGGGTCACGTAGGAAAAGAGACTGGAACAGCTTGGAGAACGTGGGCGGAGCTGTACGATGTGGACAGACGATGGAACCAAGATTTTAAGAGTTGAGGTCGAGAGAGTTGCGTGAAAGTTGCAATATGTTTGTCGATCCGCAGATGTTTTCTGACTGTATCGTCGTGATCGAAATGCAAGCACAAATCTGACTCCCTTCTGTTGTTCCAGATACACACATCCTGTGCGAGGTTGCAAAATTTGATATGGCCACCTTGCAGTCTTCACCATATCTGCAAAGCATCCAATCGCGATTCAGCTTTTCCAGTCGAGATGCTTTGAGAAACAAGATTCTACCGTCAGAGGCTCGAATCGCATGACAAATTCCACATACCTCCTTTCCAGTCATAATCTACGTATTCACCCTAGCAGATCATCCAACGCACCTCCACCTCCACTCCTTTGTCCGTTGCTCTGCATCGGCTGCATTGGCGCCGTAGGCATGGCTGCCTGGCTGCTTACCGCAGGAGCTCCCCAGATCTGGGTCGACGCCTTTTCTCTCTGTATTGCCGCCAGACCTGGTCCTGCACTAGTTGGCGTTGAGGTTTTCTTGATTCCCGCACCTGCACTTGCCGTAGACCATAACGAACCAAAGACATCGCCGCCGGATGACGAGGCTTTCGCGGCGGGTTTGGAAAAACTATTCGTGGAGGCCACGCCTGGTCTTGCACTTGGGACTGAGGAAGGCTGCTGGGAAGGTGTGGGCGCTTGCACAGAAGTGAAATAGTTGGGTGTTGCGGCTTGATAGCCTGTAGGACGAGGAGGTTGCTGTTGGGTTTGTGTTTGTGCGAGCGGTGGTGGAGATGTAAAGGCGCTTGCTGGTGGGGAGGAGATGTTGTAATTAGGTGCTGGCGGCGAGGCCTTACTGCCCATAGCGCTGGGTGCTGGCGAGATGGAATTGAAGCCGACTAGATCATTGAGGTTGTTACCTTGTGAGGGGGCGACGGGTCTCGGCGCCGCGAATTGGGTGCTTGATGCTGTAGTGCTGGTGGATAGCGGTAGACCAGGTATCGATGGCCTTGAAGGAGCTGCTGTGATAGGTGTGGCAGATTGGAAATCGTCGAAGTCATCGTCGTCTGCTGCGCCAGTATTTAGTGGGTTTGTAGCGGGTTTCCTCATACTGGAGGCGAACTCTTTCGGAGGGGTTTCAGGTGGAATGTCGTTGTCAAAGGCCAGAATATCGATCTCTGGTTCTTTTGGTTTAGCCGGCTCGGCTTTCTTTTGCTCTCGTTTTGGGACGTCTGCTTTCCGTCGTGAAGTCGACGAAACCTCGCCATCGTCGCCCTCGTCATATTCCTCAAATCGATCTTTCCTGCTGCTCGAGTCCTGGAAACCAGACGTATTTCCTCCATATCCACCACCATCACCGTAGACTCCACCACTGTATGCCCCGTATCCACCAGAATCTTCACTGCCAAAGCCGCCATACCGGCTGCCGCTGGACATGCCACCGCTCATCGCACCGCCCTCGACGCCTCCGAATTTATTGCGGTTGGACCTGGCTTTTTTCCGTTCGGCTCGGATACGTTCAACATCTCCTAGCAGCTCGGCCAGCTCTTTTGATCGGTTACGCACGTTTACTCCCTGATCTTTGCCATTCTGATCGATAAAGTGGAACTGCCGTAGCATCTTGAGAAGAGAGGTGTGGGATCGGGCATCGTCAATCACTCGCTCTGAACCATTCTTGATGAGAAACTCGAGTAGTTGGAGACCCTGCGAGCCGTCAGTGACCAATTGTAAAATCTCGAGCGAGCGATGTCTGGACCTTATAGATCTGCCTCCACTCCTCCGCAGCTTTCTCCGTGAATCGTTTGTATATCATGGGCATAATCTCATTAAGCAATTGACTGAAGTCGTCCCATTAGCAAGCTCGATGCAGGGAACCGTATTCCATACTAGTTGTGTGTGCCATTGGCAATTTCCTGCATCAGTGACGATGAAGCGCCCCATGGCTCGTTATTGGTAGCTTCTCGGACCTGGAATTGATAATGAACAGATTCGATGAAGCTTTGACACCACCAATGCCTACCTTCGCTTCCATCTCCGTGTAATTCATGACGGCTTGGAAAGGCATGTCAGCTTTAGCTTCAGCTACAGTGCCAATTACAGGCTCACCATTTTGAACCTTCCGCACACCGGCTTTCAGGTCATACAAGGTCAGGTTGCTGACCTGATCTTTGAGACTGTTGAGATCCATGTTGGTTTTTTACGTTGGTGGTTGGGGGAACGAAGGGGTTGCAGCGGTCGAAAGCTGGGTTGGGGGGCTTTTTTTGTCCATCATTCTACGCTAGCCAGATCAGACCAAGATGCAGATTCACGCCTTCTACGTGCATATTTCCGTACGAATTATGGTCTTTGGAATTACCCTTCCTTTGATTCAAGAAATATTATTAAAGACGTCTGTTAGGGTAAGCCACGAAGATCTCTCCAGAACTCCATGGCAACCTTTTCAATCAAGGAGCAGTGAAATATAGGTGACAGAGGGCAAGTGCAGAATGGCTGAAGAGCCTCTCAATTTAATCAAGATGCTCTCCGGCACCGAAGGAACGCCTATATGCTACTCCTATGCCCGCTTGCTTGATACTCGCTCATGTAACGCTGATGGAAGTTTGCGTCTAGAAACTCAATAGTATTGACACGAAAGAATATCAACAGGACGTAAGACTCAGCTGACAGTAACCACCAAGAACGAAAGGGAATGTTCGGGTATCTTAGAAACGAACGTCTGTCATGAAAAATGGAAATGCAACGATCAATCAGTCGCCTGTGCGAGTGTTACCGCTTTCCTTTCGACTGATCCTTTTCGGCCTCGCTCTCCTCGTCTGCCTCCGCTTCTTCCTCCGGTCCTTTCATAACCTCGAAACCTCGCAGGCCATGGGGACCTGCAGAGGGGCTCGTGACTGTAGGACTTCCATAATGCACCACTTGGGGTGGAGTGCCTCCTGCCTTTTCACCCCGCAGATGATGGGGATAGGGATTCAAATCCTTGCTGCTCGTTGAAAATGTGCTGACTATCGGAGGCCGCTTCTCACCGCCACTGCTTACGTTGCTGCCGTGAGCTGAATGCGTGTGCCCCCCCGGCTCAGACTGGGTTGGCGTCGCTACGGAGTCATGCATCGTTGTCACTGGGGACGATGGACCGCCCTCTTCAACTGGCTGCTCTCCACTCAAAGCGCTCCAGCCGCCTTCAATGTCACGCAGTAGCCGCACAAATTCTTCTGGCACAAGCCCCGATTCACCAGTCTTGGGATCCTCGGCCACCAGCCAGCCTTGACCGTGACGATAAGAAACCCATACTATCTGACCCTCTTTTAAAGGAAGCTCACTCACGCTCTCCCTAGCAAAATCGAAGAGTGCGACAG